AAGTTTCTAAAACTTCCAAAACTCCTAGAAACTGAAGTGACTCAAATATTTATTGTCATAGAGTTAATGACAGATATATCTAGGGATGGCAAAAAGGCTTGAGGGCTCGAGCCACCCATAGCCAGGCCTGCAAAAGCTTGAGCCGGCTCGACTTGAGGCTCGGCCAAATCAAGCCTAACCTATGAGCCGAGAAAACTAGTGAATAGTCCCACTTTCACGAGCCCAATTGTCACAATGATCCCCTGCCCCTACCATTCAATGGATTAAAAAGTAGATTAATAAATCTTTCAATAATATAAAAAGTGAAATGAAAATTATTTTTCAAAAATAAGTAAAGCAGAGTGTCCACAATACACCGTCTCATGATTCTTTCATTTTGGTATCGTTGTTGACTTGAGATTATTGTATTTCTCTTACTATCTTAGTTGTAGTTCAATGAGATTCCATGCTTGTGAACTCTCAAGGTGGTTGAGCCTTCATGGTAATGTAAGTGTGGCGTGATGGAGATTATGAAAGCCTTGATAAACTGTAAGCTATTCATAGTTCAAAGAAGATGGACGAAAGAGTTCACCGCTGGATAGGGGGCGTGATGATCAAGAGGGGGCATGATGATGTATTTTGTACAAAGAAGACTATTGGAAATGGAAGAACAAAAGTTTTATATCGACTAGATATTGGGTTGAATGAATTTGAGTTGTAAAGGAACTGGACTACTCTACGTAATAGATTTGATTTGAAACTATGAATCCTATGACATATTTATAACTAGTGTAACATTAAAAATCCGATAAACAATTTTAATTAACTTAGAATTGACACTAGCATTATTTTAGAAACTAAAGATATAAAGAAATAATATCTAACAAATTTTAGGGACAGAGGCATCCTGTAATAAAATTAAGTTTCGCTGGCTCAACTCCTAGAATGTGGCTGTCCTGCAAAAAAGAATGAAAATATTTTCATGAAACATTCTTATAGCAAAGTACAATAATCTTTTTAATACAAAGTTATTGCGGGACATCACAACATTTCCTTATAAGTATCTTTTGCCACCCTCAAGTCATCTTTTGCTTGTTTGGTTAGAATAATTTTAAAATATAAGCTTTCTATTTGATTACAAATTTTACAGATTAGATATATGACTCATTATGATACTTTGATTAGGTTCAGTATGTTAAGAGATCAATTTGGCCATTTTACATCTTATGGGTTTTATTTTATATAATTTGGTAATTTGAAGTATGTGAGTCGGAGATATGTGTAAACCTTAGTTAGGGTTTAAGTCGTTAATGAGAAAGCTAAATAAATTCCTATATAAAGGTTAGGTCCCATTTCATCTCCATGTTGTTTTATTGGATTGCACTATTGACGGCTAATATTTTGTTGATAAGCAAGGAGGGAAAGATCTAGCTGCTAATATTCATATCCAAGATGTCTTTCGCAGATATGAATTTCAACTATCAATTTAGTATTTTCCATTGTCCCCCAAACTCGAGGATACATGTCCGAAGTATGTCCTCCAATGTTTGAATTGTCCGCTCAGACTGCCCATCCGTCTGAGGATGGAATGTTGTACTAAACTTTAGTTTAGTTCCCATAGCTCGGTGTAGACTTTTCCAAAAGTTTGATGTGAACCTTGGGTCTCTATTCGATACAATAGAAACAAGAACACCATGTAACCTTACTATCTCATTCACATATAACTACGCGAATTGGTCTATAGTAAACGTCACAAGAAATGAGCGGATTTGGTAAATCGATCCACTATAACCCAAATAGCATCATGACCTCTTGCTGACCTTGGAAAACCAATCACGAAGTCTATAGTCACATGCTCCCACTTCCACTCTGGGACCTCCAATGGTTCAAGTAACCCTGACGGTCGCTGGTGTTCGGACTTTACTTGCTGACACACCAAATATTTCTGGACATACTTAGATATATCCCTCTTCCACCATCCCACCAAAAATTTGCCTTCAAATCCTTGTACATCTTTGTGCTTCCCGGGTACACTGAATATGGAGAGAAGTGAGCCTCCTCTAGAATCTCTCTTTTCAATTCTTCGAAATTCGATACACACATCCGCCCTTGATAATTTAATGCTTCATCTTCAGCTATGGTGAAATCCTTCCACTTTTCTGAGTTAATCTCAGACTTGATGTACTCAAAGGACTGATCACCCTTTTGATGTCCTTTAATTCTATCACGGAGTGTGGGTTGGATAGAGAGAGCTGCTACTCGAGCGACCACACCTGGTTGAGTGGTGACAACTAGGAGATTTAACCTCTCAAATTCTCTCCATAGTAGTTCTTGCGTAGTCAACATAGCTAAATGACCTGCCGTTTTTCGGCTCAAGGCATTAGCTGCCACATTCGTCTTGCCTGGGTGATAATGAATTTCACAATCGTAATCCTTAACTAACTCAAGCCACCTTCTCTGTCTCATATTCAATTTCTTCTGGGTGAAGATGTACTTAAGGCTTTTGTGGTTCGTATAAGTGTCACATTTACCTCCATAAAGATAATGCCTCCAAATTTTTAATGCATGAATTATCGCGGCAAGTTCTAGGTCGTGCATGGGGTAGCTTTGTTCATGTAGTTTTAATTGTCTCAATGCATAGACAATCACTTTGCCACGCTGCATTAACACACATCTCAAACCTTGTTTCGAAGCATCATTGTAGATTACAAAACCATCTAACTTGTTGGGTATGGTTAACACTGGGGCGTTTACTAGTTTTTGTTTTAATTTCTTAAAGCTCTGTTCACACTTCTCTGTCCAGTCAAACTTCACACCCTTGCGTGTTAATTGTGTCAACGATCCTGATATTTTGGAGAATCCTTCAATGAACCTCCGATAGTATCCTGCTAAGCCTACGAAACTGCGAATTTCTCCCACATTGGTTGGCCTTGACAATTCAACACTGCCTCCACTTTACTAGGGTCCACCTCTATCCCTTGGGCTATTACAATGTCTCCAAGGAATGCTACCCGTTCTAGCCAAAACTCACACTTTTTGAACTTAGCATAGAGCTTCTCCCTCTTCAAAACCTCAAACACAATCCTTAAATGCTCTTCATGTTCCTCATTACTCCTTGAGTAGATCAGGATATCATCGATGAACACAATAACAAACTGATCCAGATACTTGTGGAAAACGTGGTTCATCAAATCCATAAAGGCTCCAGGAGTATTAGTTAGTCCAAATGGCATAACTAAAAACTCGTAGTGTCCGTACCGAGTTCTAACAGCAGTCTTAAAGATATCACTAGCTTTGATTCTCAATTGATGATAACCAGATCTTAAATCGATTTTGGAAAATGCCATTGCGCCTCTGAACTGATCAAACAAGTCCTCAATCCTGGGAAAATGATACTTATTCTTGATAGTGATTCTATTCAATTCTCTGTAATCGATGCACATCCTCATCGATCCATCCTTCTTTTTAACAAATAGCACCAATGGCCCCCTCCCCCCAAGGAGATACAATGGGCTGGATGAAACCTCTGTCCAATAGTTCCTCCAACTATGCCTTCAATTCTTGTAATTCTTTGGGTACCATTCTATACGGGGCTTTAGAAATGGGTGTTGAGCTAGGAGTAAGGTCAATTGTGAATTCTACCTTTCATTCTGGCGGCATGCCCAGCAATTCCTCGGGGAAGACTTCTAGATATTCACATACCATCCTAACCTCATCAACTATTAATCTATTGTTCTCTTCCTTACTTATTACCGACATCAGGAATTCCGTAGTGATTTCTAATGGTACGACATGTCGGGCTTTCAATGCAGACAATGTGCGGGGTGAGGTTCCACCTTCAGCCATAGATAATCGAAATCTCTCATCCTTTTAATATAAAAATCGTTTTATATACAAGTACAATACTATATTGAATAATAAAAGTACAATTTATATAAGATTTTTAAAATTATCTTTCTTTCTTTAAATGTAAATGAGATTTTTCAATGTAAATGATAAATGTTCAAAAGATACTCAGAGAGGTAAAGAATATAATGAAAAAATAGGATCTTAGAGTACCAAAAATAGTTGAAGATAAAAATAAATAAATAAATAAATAAAGGATTATTGTGATTTTGGGGACCAAAAATTGAACTGGGGAATTTAATTGGATTGATAAGGGTGTTATGATAATTTCCGATGGCGAGTGTATTTTGGAAATTTGACATTGTTTGTTTATTGTATTTGATAATTGAAGATTAAATATCAAGAAACATTGAAACGAGGTTGTTTAACCAAATACATTATTTGATTGTGTTTTTTAACAAACTCCCCCTAATTTATTTGTATTAAAACCTTGCCATCTACAAGATATGCCATAAAATAAGAAAATTTTAGAATAGGAAGAAAATATTGAAAATAAAAATCGAAAATGCAAAAATTTGCACTAACATATTACAATTTTTTTCCCTTGAAATTTACTTTATATAAATTGCTTGGAATTATTTCTCTCAAGAGTCTTTATCATCGACTAAAGTACCACGAGCACTCACCATTTACTACAAAAAAATTTAAGAAGGGAAGACCAAACACTAACTACTAAATATCTAAAAGATATTTTCGGTACACAACATGCTTATTAATTCAATTTGCCAATCCAACTAATTATTTGGAAAACTTCACTTAGTAAAATGAACCGGACACAAAATACACACACACACAAACAGAGAGTTGGAATTTTTGGTATACGAATTATCATTTTACTTCAAATACCACTCTTACCTTCTCTTCTCTTCACAAGATAAAAGAACAAAATAAACAAAATATTAAAGACACAATTTGTGTGACAAAATTTCACTAACCGCTGGTCAACATAGCAGGATTAAGATAAGTTTGTCGAGTTCTATGTGGTAAAGTTAAAGGTGAGTACTACATAAAAAATGAAACACTTTCTCGATGGGGCGCCGTGAACAGAGCTACTTCCATGAGAAAACTAGATTGACCTTCGAGAAAACCTCGCAGAAGCATAAAATGCTCATCCAGAAAACAATACAACCAGAGCTTTATAAATCTGAGAATGCAACATGAAGTCACTGGTAAAATTACATCATTTTATTTCATAAAGAAACTAGTTTCTCTTCACTATCTGAAATTCACACTCCACAATAACTATATTGATAATATAGCTATATCTTATACTAAATTTGAATTGTTGCAGATGTTATAACAATTATTCGAAACGTGTGAAAGTTACAAGTGGCACAAGTCCTCACAGCATCGGCAGAAATGTATGTATCTGCATTAATTTCTCACGACCACTCTGACGGTTTCTTGACCTCCCGGAGCTGGATAGAGTTCTCAAAGCAATGGTAGAAACCATAATGTGGGAATTTCTCGTACCAAGTATCTTGCTGTATATGTGTATCCCAATGCTCCCCGCTGCTGCTCTTGCCATACTTGTGAACCCACCCAGAACCATTATGACCCTCGCCCCACGTTCGATTCCAACGGTCTCTGTGTTTACCTTCCCACCATGTCTCCCCTTGTTTTACCCCATGGCCATTGAGATCAAAGTGTTCATCCCATTTATCACCCCATTTATCCCAGCCATCACCTTGAAAACGCTCTGCCCATTTATCCGTATATTTAGTGCTGCCACCTTGCCCATCATACTTTTCACCCCACCTAGAAACAGTAATCAGTACACAAGTTAGAAAGCATTCAATCAACAAACAAATCATTAATGTTAAATCACTTAATCTAAAAGTTTAAGCTTTTATGTTAGCCAGGTGCACATATAAATCGAACAATGTTTTCCAAGTGGAATGCACTGTGCACAAATAAAATACAATTTGAGCATCTTCAGCTAAGATTAATAAAAAGCAAAAGTAGTTTCTTAACTAACTTTTTATGTCCAACCATGTTTGAATATAATATTACATGCTTACTGTTGAGTAAAAAGAGTTACTTATTTTAAAAGTAAACTCTTACCTCCTTTGACCAATAAAATAGTTTCTTATTTAGAATTTATTTACTTATAAGTAAACCTTTAAGCTTAGCGCACAAGTTCTTCATGCCAAATGATCATGTATCGTATGAGATAGAGAATAAAAAATATAGTTCTTTAATTGTTAAATAAGAATGAAAGCTCTGAACACTTTTGGTACCGTTCGTGCCAAACATGAGCATGACCATCCTCAAGGGGAGTGTTAGGATCAAGGCTGCACCACTTATGAGCCCATTTATCCACTTTGCCAGAGGCACCGTAATGCTCCCACCACTGCTCCTGCCATTCTTCCCCTTGCTTGTTCTTTCCCCACTTATCTGCAGTTTTCTCAAGATGAACAAGTCCGTCAACCTGTAAAATTAAGCAAATTATGATTTAAATAACTAATCCATCTCAGTTTTAAGCTACATTTTGAACTGAACTCCATAAAACATGTTGATTTTTTCATCTTACTTGAGCATAGATTTCAAGGCAAGAGGAGACAAATTCTCTCCAGACAGAAAAAGACTTAATGACAAATGAAGAGCGTTGGATATAAAGTCAAGAAAGTTTTAAGAAGAAACAAGTTCATGAGAGCATTTTTCTCGCACATCTCCTACGATAAATTGAAAAGAAAAAACCAGTACAAGTTTAATTGTCATTCTTATACAAAAGAACAAAAGAAACAAACAGAAGAGAGAAGTAATTTCAGGAAATATATAATTTCGCTTCAAAATTGACATAGTGAAATTAATTTAGCCTTCCAAATAGTTCCCAGGCCAGATAGGAGAAACTCCAGTTCCAAGACCCCAATAGCTTGTTTTGTAAGGTGGGCTCAAATTAAAGAAGAGAAAAGGCTAAATTCTTGTCCACTGTATTGTCCATACTTGCCCAATACTTCATAAAAAACATGTTTGCAGCGAACCACTAAGTTATGCAAGAGTAGCTGGTAGCAGAGAAGCAGACATAATAAAAATAAATAAAATTGAAGCATTGACATGACCATTTCACCTTTGGCTCTCTTTTTAAGTTCAGAAGAATTTTGAAAGCGGAGAAAAAACAAAACTGAACTACAGAGTGATCATCAATCTTTCTAGAATTCCTTCATCAGAAAGCCTATGGATCCCCTCTCGGTCTATGTAATTACTTTATACATTTTTCAACAGCGTTTTTTCTTTTCCTTTTGCTTTTCTATCACTGCAGAAACAGAAAAGAAATCGTGCGCTTCTGACAAGACACTTGGTCATTCACATACCTACGTGATTTGATATTTAAATTCATATTAAGATAATGCCTAACCTGCAACATCGATTCTCTCCAGTATTCCCGCCAAACATTTCCTGCAGCATCACGTCCTGATTTCTCAGAGGCAAGTTCCTTATAGCCAAACTCATCAGCAGCCTCCCAATATTTATTTTCCCATTCAACAGTTTTGTCAGCACTCACACCCCTGAGCAGCGTCCACTTGCAAACCACCCCATCAGGTCTATGTTCAATTCCCATCTCCTTCCACCACCTTGAACCGTCTGGATTAATTCCTTCAGGCATTACTTCATCCATTTCACTGAGAGCATGAGATGCTTCAGCTGCAAGTGCTGAAAATTCTACACCAATTTCTTGTTCCTCAATGAGATGAGTTGCTTCATCAGTTGTGCTAGTAATTTCTACATCTTCAACCTCCTCGAGTGACTGGAGAGGTGGAAGGAGAGGATTGTACTTACTATGAAGCATTGTAGTCTCAAAAGGGATCGACAGAAAATCGACAGAGCGCTCCTTTTCCATTACCGAGTTGCTCTGCGAAGGATATGGAGAAGCTTTTCCGGCAGGCTTCATTTCGCTAAAACCAAAGGAATTATCATCATCTGAAGGAGGTGTCCAGGCCCAGAAATTTGGACCTGGTGTTCCCATTACAGAGTTTCCTGATTGAGACAGGAAAGAGCCACCATTCTCGTTTTCTGGTCAAGTTTAAAAATTATGACAAAGCCCATTGTAGCACCAAGAAGAAGACAATGAGAGATTCACATAATTTGAATATCTGTACCACTTCTTATTTTTAATTGCCAAATTGTATGAACTTACTAGCACATGCTTCAATACAAACATATTGTGTCAAGTTTGGTAAGGTGGGAACAGTAGCCGACAATATAAAGGAAAAAATAGAAGTTAAAAATCTTGTTTAACAGTGTAGTCTTGTCCAACTTACTTTCACGCATTTAGCTCAAAATGGAATGGATGCTTCAATATAAAGAAAAAAGTACCAGCCAGCTGAACATTCCCCCAATCTTAGATGTGATTAGCAGGCAGATGTGAGGTTTTCTTCAATATTTCTCTCCAAGATCTCTTACTAAGCCTGTGTTTGAGCTCTATGCCTTTGCGCGCTATGGAGCTCTATGCCTTTGCGCGCTAAGGCTTGTTCACTCCTATGAATTATCCAAATACACAGATTAAGTAGCATTGAGATTTGAGATTTCTTGGTTTTTTCTTCTTGTGCTCATCAAGAAGTTAAAGTTGATGATTGATGGCTTAATTTATAGCTATCGCATTATCACTCCAAATTTCCAAAATTGACAGTCCAAAGCATAACGCTAAAAGATCAAATAATTGCATCCTCATTAAAATTTTTCAAAAGATGAAATTATATATATAAGAAAACAATCCAGGGAAAAATCAAGATACCATTTTGTTGATGATCCATATCTGAACCACCATCCTCAGCCATCACCTCGCTAGAAATCTGCTTCTCCGGCAGCAAATTCTCCTTAAGAAGTGCTCTTGCGGCCGCTATTGCTGCTGTGGCGCGATCAATCACCTGCAATCTCTGAGCCCTGTCTCTTTCTTCGGTAGAAACTTCAAGAAGTTTATTGAACTCATTGTTTCTCCTCTCCACTTCTGCTTCACTCTCTTCTTTTCCCTCTTCATCATTTTCATTAGGTTTAGCCAAATTTTCCGCAATTTTTTGAAACTCAACAGACTTCCTTTCATTGTCCACTACCTTCTTCCACATGTCCAAGTATGAATCCCCTCCTCCATTAGTGGCCTGAATTCTTGAAATGCTTAAGCTTCTTGGGTGGCATTTTTGGGTATCTTTTGAGTGGCGTAGGTGTTGTTTAGTGAACAGGGAAAATGGGTTGTTTAATTTCCGATAATTAAATCGTGGGACGGCGGCGCGTGGTCGCGTTTCCAAAAAGGGAGTGGCCATTTGCTGGTGTTGGAAGAAAGAAGGGGAGGTAACGGTGGATTTCAGTGGTCGAATTTTGTGTGGAGTGAGTTTGAGTTTGCTTCAACTTTAACTGGGATTTTGTTATTTTTTTAATTTCAAATTTTATTTTATTTTCATCGAAAAGATCAAAGATTTTCTTGAAACCCAAGGGAGGTAGGGGATGCTGTCTCCTTATAAGTTCTCACTTTTTTAAAGCATCGATTTCAAATCTGAGTTTTTAATGGACTTGACCCTAACTTTTAGCCTTGTTTGATGCCCATTATCTAAAAATGAAAATTAAAATGGGAGGATTAATATTTTTTAGAAAAATGAGTGGTTGAAAAAAAAAAAATTTTTTTGATTTACGTGTAATATTATTTTATGAAAGATTGTGTAGTTGAAAATAGGAGAGAAAAAAATGAAATGTAATGTAATTTAATTTAATGGAGATCAAACAGGGGCTAATTTGTGTCAATCGACATTTCAGATCCTTGATAAATGTTGAAGTCCAAAAGGATGAGATCATTAGTTGACAAAAAACAGTGAATTTTGACCAAATTAAAATGGATAAAATGATAAATTTAAATTTATCATATTAAATAAACAATATATATATATATATATATATATATATATAAACCCCCATTGGTGCAACTGACAACTCGCAACCAACATCGGCACCACCTCTAGCATCATTGTTGACAACACACATACAACGCTTTTTGATTTGAACACACAACATATTAAACCCCCATTTCAAATGGATCAAACACATACAACACGCTAAAATTGAATTGGTTTTATTTTCTTGGATTTAATCAGAAAAGCCATTAAAACTGAGGCCTATCTTCAACAGCTCCGTCAAATTTCCAATGAATTTTGGCACAATCCCTTTGAACTCATTTTCACTTAAATCGAGAACCTTCAGTTTGATCAAATTCTTGAAAAGTATTTGCATAAATTTCTTCTTGAGACTTGTTTCTCAAAAAGTGTAAGTTGTTTAAGATTGACTAATTCACTAAACTCACTTGGTATTGTCCCAAAAACATTGTTTCCAGTTAAAACTAGTCTTCTTAAACTCATTAAATTATTGAGTTTGCTATTAAGTGAGCCAAATAAAGCTGGGTTTTCAATGAAAACTAGCTCTTCCAAAATAGAGTTTTGAATGGATAATTCACTGAGAAAAATGAGGAAATGGAATTTTGTTTACGTGAAGCATTTGTAGAAGAAAAGTTTTTTGAGGTGAGAAAGTGGGGAAAGAAACAAAGGATCGAGGGTCACGGCTTCAACCACCATTGAGTTAATAACCCAAATGGTCACTGAATTTTGCAAAAAAATTTTATGGGGTCACTGAACTTTAAAAATCACCATTGAACTTTGTAAGATGTTTCCATGGGGACACTGAATTTTAAAATCATCACAGAACTTTGTAAAAAGTTTTCCAAAGGATCACTGAATTCTGGAAAACCTGTTACAAAGTTCAGTGATCCCGTAGAAATATTTTGTAAGATTTAGTGATGAATCGAGTGATTTTTAAAATTCGGTAACCCCGTATAAATCTTTTGTAAAGTGCAGTCATAACTTGAGTGATTTTTAAAGTTCAGTAACCATTTGAATTATTAACCTGATCAGCATTCCACTTCCACTAACAAATTAATCCCAGAAGTAGACCCGCTTAAAAATTCCTTGTGCAGGGATT